AAAAAAAAAAGGCAAGAAATGTGGATAATTATGGCTAAGAAATACTGTGTCTAATGCATGTGAAAACATACGAGTATTACATGTGCCTGGGTGTGATTAGTTATAGACTTCATAGTTTCAAGATACTCTTGAATCACTTTTGCTATTATTACTCTCCTTATAGAGCAAACTCTTAAATCAAGACCACTCATTTCCTGTATACCTACACAAGGCAGCCAGAATTACCTTTCTAACACTCATATCTCATCATGTTATTGCCTGCGCTTCAAAATCCTACTGACACTCCGGGAAGCTCTCGGGGTAGAGTCCACAGTTGTTAACAGGCTCCCCAAGGCTTTTCATGACAGGCCCCGCTGACTTTTCCAGACCCATTTCTTGCACCTGTTTCTTGTGATGTTGTAACTGCTTTGTTCAGTCCCTAGCACCTATGCACATGTGGCTGTTTAGATTTAAATCCATTAAATAAAGTTAAGTTAAAATTACATTTCTTGGTCCTCTGTCACTAGCTACATTTCAGAGCATAGTAGTCCTGTGTAACTGGGAACAATATCTGGAAGTACAGCTAGAGAATATTTTCACCATCACATAAAGTTCAGTTGGGCAGTGCTGCTATAAACACCCAGTTCTTCATTATATATTCTGTGGGAACTGACTCTGTACCTTTGCTTGAAACATTTTTCCAGTGCTTTTAAGACTGAAATTTACACATAATTCCTATTTTCTTAGTATTTCCTTAACAAGCATATAAGCCTCAATGGAGACAGGAGCTAGGGGTTGTCACCTTTGAGTCCCTGTTATTTCTAAAGTATTGCCATATAGAAGAAGGAGAGAGTGGATATTGAACTAAATTGAGAGAATGTAAGAGGCAAGTTTTTGGTGATTTAATTAGAATTTGTTGATATTTCAATTATTTTAACCCTCTAACAGCAATCATGTATATAGTTCAACCTGAGAAGGAAGAACTTCGGAATAAAACGGAACTGTTTTAGATGGTTCTAGTGAGTTGCTTGTGATTGGGAGGTTAAGCAACGGCAGAATCTATTAGAACAATGAGTAATTAGTATCTGGGTCAGTTGGCCTGGTTAACCAGATTCTAAGATTCTAAGTTTGTGTTCCTTCACGTTTTTCACTCAGGACTGAGTAAGCTGTGACGTCAGTCATAGCAAGCCACTTTCAATGCAAACACTGCTCAATATATTTAATCCTCACAAGGATCTTATGAAATATGTTTGGTACCATCAGATTTTTCAAGAAATATTTAAGTTAATAAACTCAGCAATATACAGGCAGTAATGGTAGATGTTAGATTCATTTTTTTAAGTCATTCTGACAGCACAACCTGAGTTCCTAATAACCCTGTAGAAATGGGATATGGTTCTGTTATAAAGTTTCAGCCATATATTTGCTTGTCCTTTAATTCAAAAAAGGTTCATCTTGTAGTGGAGGTGTTCCTTGAACTTAGCTAGGTGGTTTGGAGAAAACTAAGATGGAGAAGGCTTGGTCATTACAATGTAGCTGGAAAGAAAATGCATATACTTAAATAACAGTGACATAAGACAACTAAATGTCTAAATGTTTTTTAAGGGGTATAAAGAAGTCATCTTTTTAGTTGAAGCCTTCTTTCAAGTAGGCAAAAGGATAAGGACCAGAATTTTATGACAATTCAGTGTGAAGAACATCAGTACATAGATGGTAACATGGAAGAAGAGAAATACATTTGCTTTATTCACTAAAAGCCTGCAGTATTAGTCCTGGTTTTTCCACAAACCAGTCATATCAGTTGATCTCTTTTTGCCTCATCTACCACAACTGTGGTGGACCAACTGAATTTATTGTGTACATATGTATTTTTAATAGGAAGTGTCATAGATTCCATCAGATTCACAAAGAAATCATAACTCAAAAAAAATATAGGCTATATTACCATGTTCAGTTTTGCAATTCTGAGATTCTAGATTTTATTTTTGTCACATTATTGACATCTTTTCCAGGAAATGCATAGTCAGGGCAAGTTATGTCTAAGCAAATGGCAGAGAGATTTTAATTTTATACCTGAAACTATTTACAAAGTATCAGGATATCCTTACGTGGCAGTATTTAAAAAAAGAAACTCTTATTCAGTTTACATCATTGGTTCAATCACAAGAAGTTTTCTTTTCAAGGGGGTTTTCCATTAATTAAAATAGTTTGCAACAAATTACTGGTGTAACTGGGTGGTCCCTAGGAAAAAGGGAAGTTCCAGGTTCCCTGCCCCACCCAGAAGTAGGGTGGAGCTGAGGAGAGAAAATGAGAGAAAAGGGAAGAAGGAAGCCTGATGAGGAGCTAGAAGGAGACCTGAGGAAGCCACATGGAGCAGCAAGCATGTGATGAAGAAACTGCGCTTGTTTTCTGACCCTGGACTGGTGAAGGCAGATGTGGGTGAGAGACCTGTAGGGAGGTGACTATGGCAGTGTTTATATTGATTTTGATTTTGCTCTTTTCCTCCCAGACTTGTCTGGCCATTTCTGACCCTTTTCGATGGGTCCCAGCTAGAAGGTGCTAAGGTGCTTTAGTCTTGTGGCAGGCTTTCAGGCCTTGCTTTGGGCCAATCCCTTTTGGGTTGACTTTTGCGCACGAGGGGATGGGTGACTTCAGAAGTTTGATTTAGACATTATATTCTTTGTTTTCTGTATTGTATACTCACTGTATTAAAGTCCCTTTTCACTAAAGTTTTGTATGTTTTGTCTTAATGCAGGGGATGGCAGAACCCACTTAGAGCAGGCAAGTTTGGGGTTCAGTGGTGCCCCTCTCTCCCTGACCTGTAACACTGGGAGTTTCACTAATCCTTCTATTGTATTGTTGTGTTGGTGGTAGTGAGTAAAG